CTCTGAAAGAAAAAGTCTAGTATAAAAAGAAAAATTATGAAATTAATAACAATTAACTTTATATATGGATGCTTTGAACACTATATGCTAACTGAGAACTAAAGTTCTTGGTCAGTTGTTCATTTGCGATTTACATTCCAGTAATGGTGCAGTTGGCTATTACTTCTAATATTTTTTACTATTCTAAGGTACTCTTTAAGTTTGTAGCTCAGCAGCCAGCACAAGAGAAATTCACAAGGCATGTAGCATATAATTAATTTGTAGCTTAAGAAGTACTGTTTTTCGAGTGCTTGTTTCCTGTACCAGTGTGTTTATGAAATAGGCCTACAACCGAATATTAAGTAATTTTTATTAGTGGGTTTTTTTAGTTTACATTTCAAAAGGGAATTCTAGTAGGTGCAAATCTTGCGTTTTCCTTTAACATGTCATGGGATTGGAATTACGGAGTAGGGTTTTATTAGTGGGTTTTTTAAGTTTACACTTCAAAAGGGAATTCTAGTAGGTGCAAATCTTGCGTTTTCCTTTAATATGTCATGGGATTAGAATTAAGGAGCAGGGTTCTACCAGGATTGGATTCTGAACAGATATTATTGGTGTTTAATGCTGTTTGCACCATCTGGACTCTGGTTCATTATTGCAAGGGGATCTGCTGTTGTTTGACCTGATATGTATCAAGATATACTTTTACAGCCATACCTCATGCAGCAGTCTTCATATGATTAGACAGTAAAGCAATGATTTAAATTAATGTTTCTGAGATATCATTGGTTAGATAATGTCTATGTGGACCACACTCTAATTTTTTCTGATATTTCTCTTGAAGGTGGTTGTTGTGTGTGGGGGATCATATAGACGTGGAAAAGCTTCCTGTGGAGATTTAGACATAGTGATCACACATCCTGATGGAAAAAGGTTTAAAACCCAACTCCTTCAGTTTCTGTCCTTATTTTTCACTAGAAAATTGGCTTTGTCCATACCTCCTAATCTGAAAGGGATCAGCCTATCTTCTTCTACTTATCTGCTTTTACACATATTCTGCTTATCATAGAAGAAAAAGGAAAGCTGTAAATTATTACATTTTTAAGATGTTAATGCCAGTTATCAACTATAAATTAAAACCCAAGCCATTGTTCCGATCTGTCATTGCTTTGGATTCTCCGCTATTATACAAGTTGGTCTTGGTAGCTGAGAAATGGGTTGTGTCAGGAAGACTCCAGGTTCATAAAATATCTAGTGGTTTAGGCAGGATCAGGTAACCCTTTATCTTATGGTGCATATTAAAAAGCACAACTACTTTCTTTGTTTGATTTCCAGTTTGTAGCTGCATTCTTCAGTTTCCTGAGATGTTTATCCGCCAATGTTAATCACTTTTGAATAGAATGTGATCTATTTTTGTTACTTCATTTCCTCCCACCCTCATATGTATGTGTTGTATTACCAAGTGTAGTCTTACTGCTCTCTGCTTAACAATTTATTGTATTAGTTTCTAGAAATGGGATTGATTGCTCAATGATTTCAGCCATAAAGGTTTTCTGCAAAAATATGTCAAGCGCTTAAAAGAGATGAAGTTCTTAAGAGAAGATTTGGTTTTCAGTACCCACAGTGAGGAGGTAAATGTTTGTTATCTTGTTTGTTTTTACTCATGCTATACTGATGAAGAGGGTGGTTATGCATGGTGGGGTGATATATGCTTATAGTTTTTGGCCAAAATTTGGTCAGTAGCATACAAGAAGCACATGCTTCGACTCAGCAATTTTGGCAAAGCATTATTGCCACTATTTGGTTTGTGCAAGGTTAAGGAATGGTATTGTATCATCTTTTGTTAGTATTCAGTAGCCAACATATACCTATTTTTGTAAGACATGTAGAATTAACAATTCATAGATAGCTGAGTTCATGTGCAGATTGTTAAATGCTTCTTTTGTGGACTTTGTTTGTGCATAGACCAATGAGAACAAAACTTAAAGGAAATGCTGAAGGAGAAGCTTTTGAACTTGTACTTTCTATGACAAGTTCAATCTTTTACCAGTAATTTCCAAAGAGAAATGAGCTGACTGGATTAGGTGGTAATTTTAAGTTGCTTATTTGCCTTTCTTGTCTATCCAATTCTGTAATGTTTTATAGATACTAACAGAGTATGTAACCATTTTCTTCTCCATCATTAGTCAAGCTTTTCCAATACAGTAGTTGTTCTTTCTTGCTTGATTATAGTACTAAATACTTGAAGTCTGACCTGTAAGATGCATTTGGTGAATTTTCTTGATTCCTGCTCTTACGTTTCTCTCTTTAAATTGTATTTGACTTTTACTTCTCTATGTTATGTGAATAGGGTACTGATTCAGGTGTTGACACATATTTTGGTCTTTGCACTTATCCTGGACGAGAGCTTAGGCACCGCATAGACTTTAAGGTAACTTGATGATATTTAGATGGTAATCAGAATATTGTATCATGAGGGAAATAGACGGAAAAGATGGTTATCAACAACCTTATCTCTGTCATTTTATTAGAATGTTGTCATGGCATCCCTATTGAGCATGCTTTATGTTCCTTCGTGTTCTGACCCGACATGACGTTCCCATTCTCAAATTTATCTTCTTACCAGTCTTACCATGCCACGTTTGATTTTATGCACCTGTTATTTTCATGTGATAGGTTGCAGACTTGCAGGTTAAATATGATTAGTTTGCCTGTATGCTACTTCTATTTTTGTAGGTATATCCAAGGGACATATATGCATTCGGACTAATAGCATGGACTGGGAATGATGTGCTAAATAGAAGGTATGTTTATTAATTATCAAAGGCATGCAATTAGTATGAAGATTTGACTGCTGTTGGTTTTTGCAGCTTGGAGCAAGTACATTGTGTTAATGTTACAAGTTTGCACGTGAACATAATATATGTGCAAGGCAATACATTTACAGTCTAGTTGGAACAAGAAAGGAGAGCATTTGTTCTTGGATGTGACGTGTTAGTTTCATTGTGTTGCTAGTTGATAGTACTTTGATAGTTGTGTATATTAGTTTTTTTACTTTGTTTTGCTGATAGTGAGTGATTGTGTCGTCGACAGATGCTACTGAAATAATCTGATTCAATAATATAGTGGGGTGCTTTTGTAGATTGTTGAATACTTTCTGACTGAGCAATTATCGGAAAGCAGTTGTCAATTTGATCCCTTAGACAAATTACCTAAAACCTCTTTATTGTACTTGCCTCTTATATAGGAATCTATCTGGATTACAGAATTTTCATTTTCATTTGTAGCTGACAAAAAAGGTTTTGAGAACCATATCATTGTTCAGCGTCCATTCCAAACATAAATATGAATTATATTTATGTTACTATTTATACAATGGATGATATTTCTTTATGGCATTATTGGATTGATGAGTTATGGTTCAGTTGTATTTTTCTTTGTTTTCTTAACTGCAAAATATGAATGTCTGTCTGTGTTACTATAGAGCAAAGATGTAGACACTGACATTGATCCTTTAGTGCAGGTTGAGACTGCTAGCAGAATCTAAAGGATACCGACTTGATGATACAGGGCTGTTTCCAGCTACTCATGGTTCAGGCGGTAAACGGGTAATTTATTGGTTTTGCTGCATGTAGCCTTCAGCTAAACCTGTATTTACGGATCAATTAATGTTATTCATGTAAAATTTCTGTTGTAGGGTGCAAGAGGTACCACTAGTTTAAAAATGGAGACGGAGAAGGAGGTGTTTGATTTTCTGGGATTTCCATGGCTTGAACCTTACGAAAGGAATTTGTGAAAAACATAGTTGCATGTATTGGAGGGAATAGTAATTCAAACTCAAAATCTTGATCAAGCTAGTTTTGAATTCAATTCTGTATATATTAGCTTATATTTCAAATCTTAGTCTGTATATAAACGTCATATATCCTTATCCTGTAAACTTCATATTATTAGTAGTCTTGAATGCAACAGAATGATAAAAGCCTTCCGTTCAATATCTTTGGATATTCGTTTTCTTCTTTTTATCTTTTATCTTGCTCTCTGTTTTCTGCTAACAATGGCCTCTTCTATTTGTAACAGTATCACCAATGCTCCAACCATTTGTTCCAATCAGCCAACGCCCCTTATTACTATTAATGGTGTACCTCATATGCCTATGAAACCATCTCCTGTCAACTCTTCTTCTTTTAGGCTATGTCCATGGCTTTACCCCTTGTCCCTCTGCTATGGCCTGGGATCCAAAAAGAAGGCTCCAACCCACCAGCAATTATCCAGAATCCTACTCATACGAGTAAAAGGGTACACTTGAAAGCATTCTACCATAGGGAATAAAGGGTACACTTGAAGGGCATTCTACCATAGGAACTCTTATGGCGTTCAATTTCCTATCCTACTCATACGAGTGTTTAAAAGGCAACGTTATTATTATTTTGTATTTATTAGATAAATAAATTATTAAATTACACAGATTAAATTATATTTTAAATGTTTTTTTATTTATGTATGATATATAGGATACGACCATTACTTATTCAGTAATATTATAAATAAAACTATATTAATAATTTATGAAGGTTCAATTTCTTATTTATCAAAATTGCTCTAAAGTATAAATGTGACAAAATGGTTAAAGCTTACATCTGTCTCTATCAAAAAGTAAAATGTTTTCACATGCCTTTGAAACAATGATTTTACAGCAAACATGCAGTTGTAGTATATAAGCTTATCACTGTCAATAGTTAAAAAAAAATGTATAATTACCAAAAAAACATGAGACTGTTTTGTATAAAATAAAAGCGAGTCAAAACTTGCGGGTGGGTGGAAGTAATTTCTCTTTTACTAAAATAAACCAATTTATAAATTAAAAATCTTCCTATTTCCAGGTCTGGTAACTTTCTTTTAAATGAATTTAAGCTATTCTAAAAAATATATATTTATTTTTTTAATTGAAGAAGATAGCACTGTGAGTACTTACTTTTTAGCCATAAGGGAATTTAGAATGGATGTGGGCTGTGGGGGGTTTTAGCACAAACGTAAAACCCCACAAGCTACACAGAAGACAAATAGCAGATAAGGGAGGCAACAAAGAGATGGCTTCATGGAGCAAAGCTCTTCTCTCTTTCGGGCTTGAACCACATCCCTCCTTTCCTACTTCTTCCACACCCCGCCTTTCCTTTTTCAACAACTCTTTTTCTTCTTCTTCTTCTTTCAGTCGGCATTCACCTTTTTTTGCATTCAAAACCTTGGCTATTATCAAACTAAACAACTCCTCCACTTACCCTTTAAGAACCAGCAGGAACCCAACACCTTTTTCCCTGTCATTCTCATCCACCAAGTTTGTTTGCAAAGCCGCTGATTACAAATTCCCTGACCCAATTCCCGAATTCGCTGATGCTGTGAGTTCCCTCTTCTTGCTCTTACATGTTTATGGCTCCATTGTCTTGGTATGTATTCTGTTGATGGAGAATTCACCTCTTGGGTTTTCTTCTCTTTTTGGGGTCAGGAAACGGATAAGTTTAGAACACATCTTCTCAATAAACTGTCCAAGAAGGATATTTTTGGAGACTCAGTTGAAGAAGTCGTGGGAATCTGCACTCAGGTGATTGTCTTTCAGTTTCGTTAGAAAATTGTTTACCTTTTGCTTATTTTGATGGTTGGTTGAGCGTACAATTGTTGTTTGAATTAAATTTGAACGTTGTTGGTTGATTGGATTAGATATATCTTATTTCAGAAAATCCAATTGATGAACCCAAATACCACATTTTTCCATGAAGATCATTTGTTAAATCAGCTAAAACAAAAATTCTGTCAGAAGGGTTTTAACTTCAAATCAGAGGATAGTGTATGGGAAAGGCTTGTATTATCGAGGTGCCAGTTTATATTAGTTCTAATTGGTCTGATTTTGTGGTTGTCTTGGAAAATGAAAGCAACATTTGAGCTTCCGCAAACCTAAATCTTTTGACACTTATAAGTGATAAATTTAAAATTTTAGTAGAAATGGTGCAATAGATAAGCTGAACATCATCCCAATGTTTTGACATTTTTTCTCTTATTCTTTAGTCTCATAACCAGTAGGATGATGCTTGGACCGACAGTCCAGTCATCAGTAATCCATTGTCCATAAAAGACTCAGTTAATCCTAACAGTGGCAGATATGCATCCAGGAAACATCTTGTTTCATATGGATCCTACAGTATGCATGTCCTAAATTATTTTGGTGTATATTAGATCACATTAGATCACAAGATCAAAGAATTATATAGTGCATAATGCACATTCCACCTCATGTTGTATGGAAGAGCAGCCAGGTAGCTTGATAATTTGGATGAGTCTAAATGGTCATTATTCTATTGAATCATAAACTTGCTTAGAATCGCCTCAGGATGAGCCACTCTAGGAATGCCATGGACACATAAGGGAGAACCTCATGGACTTTGTTTGTACGAGGGTCAGAGCAGTAGTAAAATTGGCGCTGTTTGTCATTCATTGAGCAGAATTCTTTAAAATAGAGGTAATTTTGTGTCATTTTTCACTTAGATATATATCTTCTTGAAGAGAAAATCTTGGGATGTAGTTAGAAGAGTTTAAACCAATGGAATGAATTATTCATGAAGAAGGGATGAATAATGATGAACATGCCCTGTTTTCTTTGTTGCTTTCATTTAAGACTGATTGTTGGAAAGAGGAACAAAAAGGAGAAGCCCTTTTATATCTTATGGCAAAGCGCAATCTACTAAACCAGTACTTCTAATTGGTTTGCACTAATTCAAACAAACATTTCCTTCGTCTTTAAGTCCACTGTCATATTGTCCATATTAAGCCTCTTCTTCCCAAGCAGGCTCTGCGCATTAGATTATTATGTCATGTTTGTGCTGATATACATTTTTTACATTGTGGTTATCTATTTAATTATACAAGCAGTCAACGATGTTGCTTCTGATTATTGTAAGCATAAACAGATATTTAGCACTTTCTTACACACCGAGTATGGTGGTCCTGGGACGCTCTTGGTCATACCTTTTATTGACATGGCTGATACTCTTAATGAGCGGGGGTTGCCTGGAGGACCGCAAGCTGCACGTGCTGCGGTTAAATGGGCTCAGGATCATGTAGACAAGGACTGGAAAGAATGGACTGGCTCCAATTAATGGAAAAGCCTCCTTATCTGGGGGAATATAATTTTCACGAGAAATGTATGTTGTAAGAGCTAGTCAGGTATTGAAAAAGCTTTAATTCTTACTCTGTTTGCCCTCGAAACTGGGAAGTCCTTGTGATTTGTGAAGGTGGCAAGCCTAAATTGACGTCTGAGAAGATGTTATGATAATAGTTTTGTAGTAAGCATTGTATTAGAACTTTATAATGAGAATATGATCCTTGGACAATTTTTCTGAATTAGAATTACAGATCAGAAGCAGCTGATAATTTAAAGCAGAAACTGTTTTGAAGATTATCTCATTGTCTGTGCTTCACAAATGTGAGCACTAAGCAATTCATACCCATTACCTTTCACATCAATATTTGTTCCTGCACTGCATCATCGTTGGAGTAAATCAAAACCAATTATAACCCCATATTTCCATCCACAAATAGTAAGATAAAGTTTTGAGACAAACAGGCATTTGAGAGACAGAAGTTCCTTGAGATATCTTGATCCAAGTATAAATTCCAGTTCGGATTAATTTCATGAGGTGAAAGGGGAGAAGATGTTATACTGTCATGTGAACAAAAAAAGGTAAAGTGAAATCTCATTAAGAAGGAGCTAATAAGCTTCAATCTCTAAGCAGAGCTGGAAAAATTATTATTGAAATGATTGACATGAGTCACTTAAATGGTTCAATCATGGCTGTGTTGGTACAAGCTGGAGTAATATACCAGCTCATTCCAGTCAGCAGTTATAGCTCCCATTCTGTTAGGCATAGCCCAATCAGCTCCATAACCAAAATGCAGTGCCATCAATCATCTTGCCATTCGTGTTCTTGTACCACCTTGAATTCAAGCACTTCTTGCTCTCAATCTCTTGGCTTTTCAGAGCTCAGATGATGTCTGGTATGGACTATATGATACAAATATGTTGCTATATCATTGTTCCACATTAGATCCAAAAGGCAGAAAGGGAAGATCATGGAGGAGATAAAGTTTGGAGAAAAAATGCCGAGAGCTAGCTAGGAGCAAACCCAATATTCCCACATAGGTTATGCGAGACAAGGTAACAGGCCAAAGCAGCGTTAAAATCCGCGTGTACCTCGTTGCAAAGCACGCAACCGCGCGGTGAGCACAAAGCGAACTATTCTTTCGCCTTTTACTAAAGAATACCGTGTGCTCGCCGCAGACAGCGGCATACGCCAATTTTTGGAAGGCTCTCCTTCATGGATGAGCCTTGCAATTTAGTTTAAAGCTTGGGTGTGCAATTCCGGTTTGATTGCTTAACCTTTTTAACCTTTATTGGTGGTTGCGCGGTCCGAGCTGATACATAAGCAGCGATTGTAATATTTTCTTCAATAATAATGAATGGTGGAAGGAAGAAGGTTTTGAGTAAACAAAGATATACTCCAAGCCAGCAGTTGAACTGGAGAAAATCGTTTCAAGCATATTGCTTAAAACTGAATCATATGGAGAAGCCATTTTAACCCGTTCCAGGTCAAAAGGGGTAGGAAAATGAAGGTTAATATGTAACATGCAACTTGCAAGCCAGGATGGTATCCTATATGGACTGTATGAGAGAAGCCAAAACTCCATGAGCTAAGATGCAGAGAACGCGGCTGCATGGAGAGCAAAAAGCGATCAATTCTTTGGCCTTCTACTAAAGAATACCGTAGGCTGGTATTGTCGTGTAAACAGTAGGCACTACCACGGTTAGAAAATGAGTTTTGTGGAGATATTTTTTATTGTTGTTCATACCAGGTGGTCTCTTGTTACAAGGAGAAAGACAATCACGAATAAGTGAGCCACGTGATACTTTAAACCATATAGTGTCATTTTTAGTATTATAAGAAAATGTGACTCTTTAAAAGATTATGTTCATTATTTGTGTTTGGGTAACAAAGGCACTTTGTATCTGTCATAGTAACAGTTATGGGGTCAATGTTTCATTTTTCTATTTGTTTAAATTGTTAGTTTTTATCCGACAGTTCTCTCTTTGTAACCATATGGTAATCAATTGTTGATTTTAAAATAGCAAACATGTTATGAAAATAAAGATTAAGACAACAAAACCCAACCATAGTCCAATTAAAACAATATAGTGAAGAAATTTTTAAAAGATTTAAAGCACTATCATACATTTACTTTGCTATGTTCAACACAATTTTCACCAAGATCATGTCTAGTGAGACAGCCAAAGAGGCATATGACAAATTGAAGGAGAAATTTCATGGAAGCAATAAGATTAGGTAAATTTAAATTCTTAATCTGCGTGAAGCATTTGAAGTATTAAGAATGAAAGAAGATGAAAGTATCAAGAATTATACAGATAAAATTATGAAACTTATGAATCAACTAAAATTGTTGGGAGAAAACTTGATTGAAAAAATGATAGTTCATAAAATTTTTGTGAGTCTATCAGAAATTTGAAGTCAAAATTTCTTCTTTGAAGGACTCCAAAGATATCTCACAACTTAAGAGTAACTAAGTTGATTAATGCTTTTTGAGCCCCAGAGCAATGAAAAGCATTGAGACAAGAAGGTTCCATTGAAGAAGTTTCAGTTGTTAGAGCGAAAAAGAAAGGTGGCAGTAGCAGTCATTTCAAGAAAAATGATTATGACAGAAAAAATAAAGAAAAGAAAGGCACTGATGGAAGACAAGGAAAAGGCAAAGTTTCCTCCCTGTCCTTATTGCAAAAAGAAAAATCATTCAAAAAATTTTTATTACCAATGTTAGGTGCAAACTATGCAACAAAATGGGTCCAATTCAAAAAATTTGCAAAGAAAGAGGCATGTGTAATGAAGAGAAAACAACAGTGGCGGAACAACCTCAAAGAACAAAATGGACTCTTATTCATGATGAGGAAACCTGATAAATTAAATAAAGCAAATACCTGGCTCATTGACAGTGCTTGCACCATTTCATATAACAAAGAGAGAAGAAAATTTTATTAACCTTGACAAGAGCTATAAGTCATCGGTTGAGGTAGAAATGATGACTACTTAAAATTTGAAAGTACTAGAACAGTGGGAATGCAAACCGTGGCTGGCTAGTACTAAGTCAATTGCATAGGTCATGTACGCATCAAAAGTACGCCAAAACCTTTTTAGTGTGGGCCAATTGGTGAAAGTAATTATATTTTAATATTTAAAGATAGATGTTGTAAGATCTCTGATGTAAATGGAAATGAATTGTTCCCGGTGGAAATGCAAAATAAATGCCTTCTCGTGAACTGGATGAAAATAAGATAACAAGCATATAAATGTATTTTCTCTTACACTGAACCATGGCATAAAAGATTGGGCCATGTGAACCATGACTCACTTAGTCACATGGCCACTTCAAACATGATTGATGGGTTGCCAGCAGTCATAAAATTAGGAAAAGTTTGCAAGACATGCTAACATGGCAAAACAATTAAGGACACCATTCCCTAAAAGGAGTGATTCACGTGCCCATTGCAAGTTACATCTCCTTCATGCAGACGTGGGAGGTCTCATGACAACCAAATCTCTCAATGAAAATCTCTATTACCTGTTGATTATTGATAACTTTATAAGGTACAGTTGTGTTTGTTTTCTAAAAAGAAAAGCTGATGTGTTAGACGAGGTTTAAGAGGTTTAAAGTTCAAGTAGAGAATGAGTAAATTGCAAAATAAAAGCCATCAAAACAAATAACTAGGGTGAGTTTAACTTGTTGGGAATAAGCCCTACAACCAATCAAATTGGTCGAGGCTTAAATCACAATCATGTAATCATATCATCTATAATAAATGATTAGAGGTTTTCCTTCATCAATAAAACTATGCTTCTTAAGTTTATTGAATGAAGTCCATAAAATTAACACGCCTTGCAAGGAAATTGTAAAGTGTTATAATAACGAGATCCTTATACGTCAAAGCATAATCTCTAAATTGTTCCTAGTTGATTTGTCATTGAGACTAAATATCAATGATTCTTAAAAACTAACACATTCTATGTTCCTTACTTGAAAAGTAAGTAACCGATCTCATAAGTTGAATTATAAGGATACTTGGAATTACAATGTAAGTGTTTGTTTTAGTAATAAGTTCATTGAACATGACCAACCGTGAGGAGTCTATTTGCTATTTCAATCTAGTGTTTGTGGAATATATCCTCACATGATAATCGTGTAAATGATCTCTCAACTTGTGACATCAAGTTGTCTTGTATGAGGATTGCTATATTTTGATACCATTTTACTAGGTATTAAACACGAATGCCCAAAGTAATGGTCATTGGGTATAACATGAGACATATAAAGGTAAATGAGTGGTTTAGAAAAGATTCATCATCCTAAATAAAAGGGGTATATCCTATTTGCGTCTTTGATAAACAATAACTTATGTAAATCTCTAGCCAGAGTGGAATGAAGTTTCGAAAAAAGGAGTTTTTCAAATTTCATTCAAAGTTATACTTAGTCAAGAGCCATTATTGAAAGGTTTAAAGAGTAGACACTACACCATGCTTTTAGTTTTTCTGATATACATGATGAAAAGATTAAATTGAACTGAAAGACTCATCATTGAAAAGTTGAGTCAAACCATCCTAACTTTCTAACATTTGAACGGCCATGATGGGATATAATCAATGATAAATTCACAGTTTGAATTTATCTAATCCTAAAATTAATTTATGGATTACATCCTAAAATCATTGCCAACATGTTGGAAGCCTAATGGGTCACACACCCAAAATGAAATTTGAAAATAAAATGGGGTGGGTGATTAAGTAAGACTTAATCAAGTTAGTAGTCATAAGCTACTAAGCACCTAATTAAAATGGTCTAATTAAGTGAATGGTTAGTTCATAATTACATAAGAGTTATGTAATTTATTATGCATGGGTTGAAATAAACTCTAACTATGTAAACTTAACTTAAGCCTTACTTTCTAAGAAGGTGAAAAACACAAAACTCTAGCCACTTTATAGTTGCCCTTAGTAAAAGAATGAAAATAGTTTTTTTCTCTAAATTATTCGACCAAGGAATGTGTTTGCACTTGACCAAGTTTGATTCTTGGAATCACCTATCTAGCACTTTGTAAAGGCTAGAGTAATCCCAATCTTTGTGAATGATTTTTGGATATCATTGGTGTGGACTTTCATTAGAGACTACGTAAGAACCTCTTGAACAGCTTTGGTTTGCTACAACCAAGCTTGGTGTGAAGTCAATCAAATGGATGTTCCGATGTTTAGATAAAGGATCAAACTTCTTTTATCTCTAAGGTAATGATTTATGATCATATGCTTCTTGCAAAATTGCTTAATGACATTCAAAAGGCTATTGAAAAGTGACTTTGGATGGGTGAGGTTGGTTTTCTATGTTTATTTTGTTTCCACTGTATTATTTGATTTTTGTTGCATTGAGATGCATGGTTCGCTTTCTCCCTTCATAACTTAAATGAATTTAAAAATTATTTAAGTACAAATGGCATCAAACACTTCACCACTATACCATACAGCCTTCAACAAAGTAGGGTTTGTGAAAGGAGAAACAGAACCTTAATTGAGATGGCTAGATATCTTCTTCAAAAGAAAGAAATGCCTAAAACCTTTTGGTAAAAACCACAAATGTTGTAGCTTAATTGCTCAATATTCTTTCAATAAAAGCATTAAACATGAAGAGCCCATTTGAAGAATGGCAAGGAACCAAACCTTCAATCTCTCATCTACATGTATTTGGATGTTTCTGCTATGCAAAAATTCCTAATGAAAAGTGCATAAAGCTTGACACAAAATCTGAGGTTGTCCATTTGGGTTTTAGTAAGGCTTCTAATGTGCACACAAGCAAGGTATTTTTGTCAAAAGATGTGAGGTTTGAAAAAGACATGAGAGGGAACTAGAACACTAACCAAGTTGAAGATTTTCAAAGTACAAACAATGGTAAAGTTGAGAATATCAAGAAAATTAATGAAAAAGATGATGATGATTATGCTATAAGAAAGACGAGAAGCCCGAAAGAAATTTATGAAAAGTGTAACACCATTGTTAAACCCATTACCAACCTTGATGAAGCAAAAAGCAAAGTTAGGCAAGAAGCAATGCTTGCCAAAATGGATGTAATCAAGAAAAACGGCACATGAGTATTAGTTAAGAGACTAGAAAATAAGAGAACCATAGGTGTAAAGTGGGTATATCGAACCAAGCTAAATGCAAATGGTTTAGTGAATGAACGTAAGGCTAGACTTGTAGCCAAAGGCTATTCACAAGTGTATGGGATAGATTTCATCGAGAGTTTCACACCAGTAGCTCGACATTATACAAGTCAAGTATTATGTGCTTTGGTTGCAAGAGAAAAATGGTTTATATGGCACTTGGATGTAAAGTTTGCATTTTTTAATGGCTTAATTGAGGAAGAAGTTTATATTAAGCAACCGAAGGGGTTTGTGGAGAAAGGAAATGAAGGCAAAGTTTCTAAACTCATTAAAGCCTTGTATGGCTTGAGATAGGTTCCGAGAGCCTAGTATGAAGAATTGATGGCTATTTGCTCAAGAAAGGATTTAGACATAGCTTTAATGAACCAACTTTGTATGTTAAGAGCTCACATGGCCAAGTCTAATAGTTTCCTTTTATGTTGATGATATTTTGGTAACAAGACCCAACAGTTTTGAGTTGAAAAATTTCAAGACCTAAATGAAACAAAAATTGGATATGACTGATCTAGGAAAAATGCATTATTTCCTAAGTTTTGAAATCATATAAAAACGTGAATATATTTGTCTTCACCAAAGCAAATTTGCTCTAGAACTTCTCAAAGTGTTTCATATGGAGTCTTGTAAACCGGTTAATACCCATATGGCTTCTAAAAACAAACTATATAGAAAAGATAATGCTCTAGTTGCAAACATGTCTCAATGTAGAAGTTTGGTGGGTTGTTTGTTGTATTTAACAACATCTAGACCTAACATAATGCATGCAACAAATGTTCTGACAAGGTACAAGCAAAAGCCTTTCGAAATTCATATGATAGTTGCAAAACGAGTCTTACGATACCTCAAAACAATTGTAAAATACAGACTCAAGTATATCCATGGTGAAAGTGAAGAACTTATGGGATTTTGTGATAGCAATTATGCCGTTGTACAAATGATGCCAAAAGCATCACTGGTTTCTGTTTTTCACTTAGAAGTGTTGTATTTGCATGGAATTTAAAAGAAACAAGAAATAGTGGCTCAATCCTCTAGTGAAGCCGAAAATGTGGCTGCTACCTTGACTACCAACCATGCACTTTTGTTAAGAAAAATTATAAATGACTTGAGTTTTAAACAGGTTAGTGGAACAACAATTTAGCTTGACAACCAATTCGCAATAGCCATTGCCAAGAACCTAATACAGCATGGTCGTAGCAAACATATCAAAGTCAAATATCATGCAATAAGAAATGCTGTAAAGAATGAAGAAATTAGTGTGAAATATTGCAATATAGATGAACAAGTTGTAGATATCTTCACCTGGGGATTAGGCAAAGATAAATTTCTTATTTTCAGATTAAAGCTAGGTTTCTGCAAGATCAAAGTCAATGAGATGTTAGAAAATGACTTCTATTTATGCATGGAAATGTTTTTCATTGTTATTCACATCAAGTGGTCAAGACAATTATGTGTAAGTAAGTCCCGTGATTCATTAAATCATGTAGTATCGTTTTTAATGTTACAGGAAAACGTGACTTTTTAAAAGACCATATTTATTGTTTGTGTGGGTCCAAAAGAGTAGTTTGTATATGCCATAATAGCAATGATGGAGCCCGCGTCCATTTTCCTATTAGTTTAGATTGTTAGTTTTATTCAACGGTTTTTCTTTATAACTTTACGATAATTAATTGTTGTCTTTAAAAAAGGTAAACTTTTTATGAAAATAAATCAATATGCTGTTCTTTATCATCACTTTTTTTTTTTTCTCAAATTGTCCCTTTAACAAAATTTTGTCATTTATTTTTAACATGATAAACTTATCAAAAAACAAAATATATCCTTCAACTTTAATAGTATATGCTAAAATGAGATTAAATATTTAAGTGTTCATGTCAACTAAAAATGAACTAAAACAAATAATATCTTGTAGGATGGTATGATTTGTGACACATCACAACATGGTGGTTGGTCATCCCCGTCCGTAACAGGCATTTGCCATTTTACAGGGCTCTCTTCAGAGCCTATGGTTTAAGAAAACAGGTCAGTTTGGTTACATGGAAGACCTGACTCAGCGAAAATATTTGTTTCAACACCTGGAGATAAATATTTGGGCACCATCTTTTTCATTCATTTCCTCCCTTTCCTTCCTTTCCACTTTCTGTTTTTTGTTCCTTGGCGAGGACTGCATCTTCCAAGACTTTTAGGGTGATTAAGAAAATGTTTGGATCGCATCATATGATAATAAAGCTTTGTAATTTATTGCAAGCAGGTGAAAATACTCTCTGACAACTTGCAACATTTACAATCAAAATTAAACTTGTCTAATTGTATTGGAGGTAGCTGAGTTACAAATTTGATTGACTACGATCCATCATTTCTTCCCTATCTATGAAACGCTCCAAGAGCTCATTCTCTTGCAAAACTAGGCAGTCTTCACTCTTTCCGAACCAGTTATAACGCCTCTTGGCAACATAATCATAAACTGCGTCTCTCAATGGAGTTGGAATTATAAAAAATGCACTTAAAGCAGAGTAGGGAAGTGGCAAGTATGACAATACTCTCAATGCAGCTGCAAAACACAGTTATAGCCAAATGTTGAATTTCATAGGGATTAGAAGGCAGCAAACAGAACGAATGCAAGCGCAAATAATAAAATTCTCAATCTAGCAACCATCTAGAAATTAAATTTCAGCAGACAGTAAGATGCTTTTACTAAGAAATATTGTCCAATTTTCATGTTTCAAATGCAACTGCACTGAATTAGTAAGAGACGATCTTTACTGGCCCAAAAGCTATTTGGAGTTCCTCTATATGGAATGATAATTCCCTTCCAAGCTATCACCTTGTTATCAATTCAACTTTTGCAGAGTGGCTTTCTGGAAATTAAGTCCAGCCTTTTAACTAAAATAATGGCTGCCAATGAGTCCTTGTCTCAATGGCATGGAGGAGGCCTTGTCTGAATTGCATAGAGGAGACCCAAGAGCCTAAGGTCCCAAGTTTAAGTCCAACCTTATGTGGGTTTAGTGCATGGTTTATTTATTGATTTCTTCCAGTTTGTAATATGTGATTTATATGAAAGTTATTTAATTGTAATTGAAATTTTTGCCTCCCACTGTAACCTCATGATAAAAAAATAATGGCCCTCACCTGCCCTACACTGCTCTGCTAACTAGTTGATGCAAGTCATTGCAGATAAATGCCAAATATACACAATGTAGACACAGCAATCTATTGTAAAGTGGTGCTAAAAACCAGAAATTTTTTACATTCAACAAATTTTCATCTGCCATCTTTGACTGATCCAATTACTTCCTCATAGAACTAGCAAACCATTGTCTCCTAGTCTACAAAGACATTCTCCTTGAAAAAAAAGGCAAAAGAATTCTGAGTTTCAAACAATAATCCTTCTGAATGCCATCTATTCCACTGGAGGAATACAACCAAAGAACTTTTGAGATGGCATTGAACACCAATTTCCAAGACAAACCCACCACAGAATACACAGAATAACACAATAAATTTTGGGTAAAAAATGTTTTTATGTCAAACAAAAGAATGCAAATAGCAAGCCATTAATTCTGGAAGAAAATAAGTCGTGAGAGAACTAACCAGTGGAAGCTTGGTGATAGACACCAAGGCCTTCCATAAAGACAAACCGACGACGAACATCCTCTCGATCAACACCACAAACTCTCAAGTATGGTTCAGCAGCCTTTGACTGAACACAGCAGAACTTGATCTTCCTGTATTTGTCCACTTTAATCACCCACTTCACCCCTTTAAAATGACAAAATACCAGAAAAAGTAAGAAAAGACTTAACGGCAACAAAACCCAAAAACTCAAAATAT